CTCTTTTCCTGAAATACCGCGAGATTTATAAGCAGTACCATGACTTTTGAGTGGCAAAATCAGTGGGAGCCGGGATTTGCCTTTTTTCACTGAAAAAAAATTAGATTTTGACCGCTGGGAATGGGATTCGGTAAATTAGTGATTCGCGTGAGTGGAATTCAGATCAGACAGATTTGTCTGGGCGAATGGGTGGTAATACACACAGTGCACTGCAAAATAAGCAGTGCAATGTTACATAATACAGCATGGGGGGGGGGGTCATAAACAGGGCCGTAACGATCGACCAGGTGTGTGTGTGCGTGTAACCCCCTCCCCCGCCATATTTCTTCAGTAAGTAATTCTGGGTAAATTTGTAGGTGACCTAAGTTGATTTTGAAGTAATTTATAAGAAGTTTGAAGTGAACGCAAACTAAATTTTAGATGCATTTCCTGGGTCTAAATAACGATCCAAATGTTAAAAATTTTCCACTGGATTTCCCCCCAAACTTCTTCCTCAAAAACCACACTAAATTTCAAACACCGATTTTAGGTAAAGTAAAACGTAATTTAAAAAATCTGATAATTTAGACCATCCCCCCGGACAAATGTTGCATGTGGCTTGTGATCCTTCTTGATGTGAACGTTCGCATTCTTCAATCGTGATATTCATTCCTTCGAGTTCACAGTCTATTATTCTCTTACTAAATAGTATCAATAACATGCATGCTGTAGGTCATGAAAATACGGATTAAAAATTCCAAAAGGAAAGATTTAGAAAGGGATTACGTAATTAGAGGATTGTACAAGGTGACAATATTTTCATTTTAATAACTCGTAGTATAATTTACTATAGTATATTTACTATAATCTACTTAGTATAATTAAAGTGTATTGGTGACAACAGTATTACGGTTGAAAACATCAAAGTGCGAAAATATAGTATACTTGTAAAAACACCACAGTCCATGTTTGACTCTATGCATCGCATTCCTTAAGTCCATGCACAGACCTCCTTTTTTGGCTCTAAATAAGAGCAGATGAAACGATAAGAGTGCGTGAGACAAGTCGACCTTGTACGTCTGAATGCTTTTCCCAACACTATATATCTTGTATTTTAATTTAGGTTAAAATGTAGTTGGAACACTTATCAAAGCTTTGTTTATCTGGAGTTTGTCTGAAATGTCCCATGTAACATTGTTGTTCGTGACTCAATAGACAATACTCATTTCAAAAACCAAACACGTGAAATCCGAGTGTCATGATCTTTTTACAGGAAATTGATTTTTGAATCGTATAATTCTGACATTTTTCGCGTGAGATTTGCTATTTTATAAAATTATGTGCAAACTGGTAGGGCCGGGGCTACGGTCTGGAAAAAATATGTTTTTAAGCCTCTGGAGCTACGGATTCTCTACACTTTTAGACTCAAATTGTTCATATATTTCATCCACCAGACAAAATTTTGGACATGGGAATAATTTATAATCTTTTCTTAACTAAATTATTCTTCCTGATTTTGCCCCGTGAGGGAGGTGAACGTAGGTTACTGGGGGCGAAGTCCGACCCCAGCCCCCTTGTTGGCCCTCAGTCTGTATGTCAAGAGTGCATATTTTCTTGTTTATGTAAAAGTTGTAAAACTGAAATCAGTTTACCCTTATTTACTGAGATGATTTACTGATTGAGGTGATTTTATAATCAATCATTACGTTGCTTCTTGTGACCACTTTGAAAGCTTTGACACTCAGTCGCACTCTTACATCAATATCTACGTGTGAGGACCAACACTAAGAGCACAAAAATAGTTGAGAAAAGGGTTGGTTAAAAACGCGGATACGGACGAATGGACGGACGGACGGATGGCTTTGTCACACGAAACGAGTACTATGCATAAAATGCGGATATGTTTAAAAAACGTTCTTTGGCGTTTTAATTGACATTGAATTAGTTCGATTTGTTGAATATCCATAGAATTTATTCATTAATTTTACTATAAGATAAAACGAATTGCTATTGGCCTCAATTTATGTCAAAAACAAAATACTGCTTGTAAACAGTTGACCTCAAAACTGTTTCATCAATAAGGATTACAATCACGATATTGCAACATCTGGAAATTTTGTTGATCGAAATTTCGCAGGAACGTTTCATATTTTGTTTGCAACTATTAAGCTGGTACACACCGATCCAACTACTTTAGGGGGATTACCTGTTAAGTATAAAGATACTTAACAGGTAATCCCCCTAAAGTAACCGATCCAACTACTTTAGGGGGATTACCTGTTAAGTATAAAGATACTTAACAGGTAATCCCCCTAAAGTAGTTGGATCGGTGTGTACCAGCTTAATGTATGAATGTCCTGGATTCTGAGAGTAAAATTTCATTTTCCACGACTTTCCATGACTGAAACTGATTCCCAGGATTTCCAGACCTGGATTTTAAAATATTGAAATTCCACGACGGCTGCAATTTAAGGTGACGATATATTTATCTTGTTACCTCAACGTTGATAACTGGTGCTCAGAGACTCGTGCTAATCACAGGTTATTTATAATATGTAATTAGAAATTTCGAGCAAATATTGTCACGAACAACAACAATGATCTAATCCAGGATATTCACATTAGCTGCGAAATGTCAGTTCCTACGGGTCAGACGTGTAATGGAGACGCCGGTGCTTATCCCTTCTCAAAATACAGACAGTGGCAGACACTGGGGGGGAGGGGTGATAGTTATTCTTCGATCGACAATGAAAGCATGGTAGGCTATGTAGATTTAAGATTATATACAATATTAGACCCAATCAGGAGCAGTTAAAATGCAACTATAAGCCTTCTGTCAGGAATCGAACCTGTGATTAGAGCGCTGCACCAGAATCGCAGGTTTACAAACTCGACCACAATCGACCAGTTTAAACTGGTAATCTATGAGTTGAAATTCTTAATTTTGTGACAGCTTGGCGGTATTCTTCATTATGACTTTCCAAATGCTATGGTTATATACAGTATCTATTTGGGAAACATTCACGATTTCGGTCTACAAACTTCCAGTTTCTTGTTTTAACCTGTTTTAACCTTGTTTTAAGTCTTACGCCCGTATTCGAAAAGCTTACTCACACTCACAGAGTAGAGGTTCAATCTGAGCTTCCCTTGAGTGTCATTGCTGTTTTTGAATAGCTGAAGGATTAGTGTCGTACCTTACTGTGTGACTACTCACCCTCCAGCTATTCAAAAACAGCATTGACACTCGGGGGAAGCTCAGATTGAACCTCCACTCATTGAGTGTGAGTGAGCTTTTAGAATACAGGCGTTAGAATGAAAAAATAGATCTGTACACTCGTCTGTACACTTAATGCCGCACGATAACATGCCGAGATTGGATTAATTATTTTTTACAAACCCTCATATATTTATACAATCACTAACATAACATATTTTTCTCTAGCTATAGCGTGGAGGAATTCAAGTCTTCGCATGTACTTCAACCTGTCAAGCTTAGCAAGTCAGACACAAATATACAGCGCAGATCTTATTCTTTACCGTACTCCACCTTCATTCATACAGACATCAATATACCAACAATCATATGGACTTATCCTCAAAGACATTAACACAAGTACAATACTGTACAACCGCACCCTCGCGAGCGGTGATAGGTCTTGCCTTGTGAAGAACGTACTAAATTTAGTCAGACGTTGGCAAAAGGTTCCTGGATATAACCAAGGACTGTTACTGACTGTCAAAGATACTGGAAGATACTCCACGACTCTTGAAACGTTTTATCCAAAGAAGAACATTAAGGTCCCGGCATTGGCACTACTTTTAAAACCAAGGAAGAATTTTCTGAAGAGATATAGATTGATTCTCAGTCAAGTTATAGAAATTCTTAAAATAAAGACTTGACTCACACGAAAAAATTGTTGTATAAATATACATGTATAATATGCATACAAAAACATAAGTGAATCCCATCTTGTTGACAAAATGTGGTGTTTGAAACAGGCTTGTAAAGGACGGTTTACACTATCAAAGTTTCTGTCATCACAGTAGGAATTTTGCAAATTCTGAGATCTGAAGAGTTTCCAAGAAATCTTTGAAGGAACTGACTTAGTATTGAACAGTGAGCCAGTTAGAAGAAGAAGAAGAAGAATTTATTCGCACCAGTCAAAAATACATAATTACAAATTTTTTCCACACATTATTAAGACAGAGTTGGCACAGGATATCTGAAATAGCTTTAACACTAATCGAAGTCAGATAACCTTATTAAAGTATTCGAGCCACTGTGGGTCAACATTGGGTTTAAGGTCATGGTGCACAATGATTATACAGATGCAAATTAAAATTTATAGACATATGAAAAAACAAAAGCAAGCATAAAGCCAGTAATCATTAATTATAAATTTGATTTTAGTTAATTTGAAAGCAAATGAAAAACAGAAATAAGAATAAAGATAAAGCTAGTAGTCATTAACAAATTTGATTTTAATTTTTTTTTTGAAGACTGATTTAGTTAGTATTTTCAAGCTATCATCTATATCATTCCAAATATAGGGTCCCTGTGATCGGATAGAAAATTTACCGTAATTTGTTCTTACAATTGGTATACAATAACTAACTGTTGTTGCTAGTCTAGTACTGTACTTGTGTTTATCACTAACGAAAAAGAAAAAATCGTTAAAGACAGTAGGGAGTCTATTTGTATAGAAATCGTGCATAAATAATAAGTTGGACATCTTTATTATATCAAAGAGCTTTAAAAGACCGAGATTTTTAAATAAAGGACTAGTATGTTCATCATATCTTGAGAAAGTGATTATACGTACTACTCGTTTCTGTAAGAGCACTGATGATTTCAAGGAAGATTCGTAGGTGTTTCCCCAAACTATGGTCCCTTCAAATATACCATATAAATTCCTCAAAACGTAGAATTTACGCATGCAAAAATCCTACGGTGATCACAGAAACTTTGATATAGTGCAAATCAGCCTTTACAAGTTTGTCAACAATTTGTACTAGCAATTTTATCAAATTGCTACAATGTTGTCAATAACAACGTGTATACAGCAGAAATTGTTGAATTGAATGGAATTTCTTGTAACAAGTGTCGATTAAGTTAACCGTGCAACAGCAGGTCTATTGCAGTAACAATTGGTCAACAATTAAGTATGAGACAATGTAATTTCAAGATATATAACAAAATTATTCACAAGGACAAGTCATCGAATAAACTTAAAATAAATATAAAATATATAACCTAATTTATTCAGTAATAAAACGAAAGAAGTATTCTGTTCTGAAAAAGCTGGGCATCTTAAGATATGGACTACAATCATGCAAGAAGTACTACAACAGAGACTTTATATATTTTCTTTATACGTTACATAGTTTAGATGCTTCTCGACACCTGTAGTCTGAAGTGAGGATATCACCGTATAAAATCTTGTTTTCATTTTAGTCCATATCTAAATTGGAATTTTCAATTTGCATTTATTTTTTTCGGAAATAAAACTCATGATAGTAAGTCAAATTGTTTATCCGCGTTTTCTTGTATATTTTTTTTTTAAGTGTGATTGCTTAAGATTCTCCCAGAAAGGTATGTCATGCCAGTCATGGTCCAAGGGCTTTCCACTAACTACATTATCCATTTAGTATCGTCAGCCATGTAAACCGAAGGCTGAGATTGATAACACAAACTGAGGGTTTCAAATTGATAATTCTTGACATCTTGCGAAAACCGAATTCAATGCTGAATAATTCTTATGTTAGTGTGTCAGTGCATATAATTCTTGTCCCCAGGTTTACTACTTTGCGCGACTTCGTACTGCATTTCATGGGAATAACGAGCATGGCCTGGGAACGAGGATTATAAAGTTACACTATGAGACCAACATACTGTAAACATCCAATACAGTGTCAGTGATCTAATATGACATATTTACCACGCTGTATAAATTACAATTCTGTACAAAATATATTAGATTCTATATACACACATCATCGCGTTGTAAAGGGTATTCAAGTGACGCTCTATTTGGTATGTGTAACGCTTTGGGAGGTACATTCTTCATCTTGATCAACAGTTGACAGATATGATATTATACAGGTAACGTTTAGCAGCAAAAAAACAAAGGCAAACTAATTTGCAATCCTATTGACATCATATCCGGCAGTGAAAATGTGTATGAAGATGAGCGAAAATATTTAACAATTATTCGCCAAAGGCCAGGTGATTATCGGGGAATATACGAGGTGCCTGAGGCGAATAATTGTTTTAGTATTTTTACACAAGTCTTTTATGTTTTTTGAAACTGAATATATTTTAATTTCGCTTATTTCTTTATAGTAACTTCCACAAAACGGCTAGCCGTCAAATTAGACGTCGCGTCAAATTTGACCAATCAACTTGCAGGATTTATTGTACTCACTTGTGCAAAAATACTAATGGTTTATATTACATTTATTCTTAGAATGAACCTTGAATGAACCAAATATTACACATACCAAAATCATATTTGGTCAGTGGCACGTAAAAAAAGCACTCAACAGAATTACTTATCTTCATAGAGGTTTGTCCTGGTTGTTAGTTCAGACATTCCTAAGAGATTTTCAGCTTGTCTTTGTTGGCTGTCTGCCAGGTCATCCAGACGATCTCGCACTGAGGAAAGATCTCGCCGTTGTTGTTCCTATGGAGTATAAAAAACATTATTGGCTTGACTCAGTACAGTCAAACCTACATCCTTAATATGGACAACAGACATAGAATTTCGGTCGAAGGGCCTTGGCTCGAAACGTCGAATTTCGCTTTGTATTTTTCAGGTAGTTGCATCCCCACCAACGAAAGCTTGTTATTATTGTCGTGACTAATTAAGAAATAGACTAGAAAATACATGCATGCAGAAACCCTCGCCTTGCTGACAAAACCATTGTATGTTCCGAACATGAAGTTCTAAAATAGTTGTCATGGTAACACGATAATTTTTTAAGAATATTCTTACAAATGAAAAATCGCCTAAAAATATCACTTTTAATTACAAAATCATTAATTTCCCAACATATATATCTTAGGTATGTTATTATACGTAATATAAGCCTCAATTTAAGGTAAAATTCAACCACAAACGCTTCGCAAAACGTTTTAAAAAGTGCTCTTTAACTTAACAACCTTTAATTATTAAAATGGTTTATCGATAAACTTTGAGTTTGCAATAAAATGATTTCAAATTTTCGCTTGCAAATAACTTTGCTTTCTTTTTCATTTAAAAAATTCAATATAATACAAAAGGGAATCAATATTAAAGATACACTGAAATTATATTCTGTCTTGTTTAGTTGTTTCATATACGCAAAGGCCGTCGGGTTTTAAAGCCATTATAAAATCAATATTTAAAACAAACTTACCTTCGTTAACGTCGGCTCCCTTGTTTTAGCCGATTCTTTCGCAGTTTCTTTCTCCGAGAGCTTTTGAAATTTACAAAATATTGCAAAAATGAGAGTAAAAATGAAATATATTCGCAAGAAATTTATCATAATCATCAAATCAAGAAATGTTTGCTATTTCGCTGACGTGATGCAGTCGTTTATGCAAACTTTAAATTGGACCAATCAGTGTCCGCTATTCATGACAGTCCGCCATATTTTTGAGGTCAGTGAGGATGACCACCCATCGTTGGTGACCCACGCCCGCGATATTTGATGAACTTTAGACTCCGCTAATGCTTTCGTTTCCCCGGGTGTAAATAGCCGGGGGGAATTAGTACCCTCGCACGGCGCTTCGCGCCGCCGGCTCGGGGAAAACATTTTCCGTGTTTCTATAGAGTTATAGAAACACGCGTGAAAGTTTGGGAGAAACGAGAAATTGCGTGGGAACACGAGTGCGAGTGTTTCCACGCAATTTCGAGTTTCTCCCAAACTTTCACAAGTGTGTCTATAAACTCTATAGGAACACGGAAAATGTTTTCTATTTCCTTTATTAAATAGCCTTTTAAAAACAATAGAAAAGACAAATTTATTAATTTTAATTGCTTTCATTCAAATATTAATTCCACCCAATATACGTTCGTGTAAAGAATAATTATAAAAGCATAGCGAAGTAAACAAGTATATCGCTGTCAAAACAACAGACAGCACTTGTAAACAGGCTTACTTTACTAACTATATAATTCACTTAACAACGTACATGCTTGCATGCAAAGAAAGCACTGTTTTAAATAGTTAGTGAACGTTTAAACATGATTAAAAACTATAGTAAACATGATGAAAAACGTCGCGAGGAAATATTTTTTTAAAAAGACAAAGTAAAATTAAAATATCTTACCTTGGTAAACAGTCAAACAGATACAACGTGTATTATAATTATACTTTCTCCGCTTTCTAAGTTAGCAAAGTGTTGCCTTTCTTTTTTGTAACGGTTCTTCGGCATTTCGGGACGTTTTTCAACTTTTTTTCAAAATTAAATATTGTTTGTATTTTGTCTTTTAAACTTCCCGCTCAATCCACGCAACCCGCGTGAAAATTCCCCGTGTTTCTATCGAGTTATAGAAACACGGGTTTTTTGAGCTTTTGGTCAATCAGCGCCCGTGTTTTTAAAAGGCTATTTTATAATATTGGCTAAAGAGCGAATAAGGGAACCCCCGGCTTTCGTTAATGATCTTATCTACGCCTACATACGCCTGTATTCTAAAAACTCACTCACACTCAATGAGTGGAGGTTCAATCTGAGCTTTTCTTGAGTGTCAATGTTGTTTTTGAATATAGCTGGAGGGTGAGTAGTCACATAGTAAGGTATGACACTAGACCTCCAGCTATTCAAAAACAGCATTGACACTCGAGAGAAGCTCAGATTGAACTTTCACTCATTGAGTGTGAGTGAGCTTTTAGAATACGGGCGATTATAGAATCGCTCAAAAAACGTCATGAACACAACTCTTTATCATCTTTGCTCAGGGATCCTAATTGAATTGGGGCCCTGGATTTTGCCAGGAGGCGCTCAAAGGAGTCACGCCACTGGGTTTGGGGGTATAGAGGGATATAGATTAGATAAACGTGAAGTTCACTTGGCTTCATTGAAGTCCCTAAGATAGTACTCCAGTAATTACATTGAGCTCACTGGTCTACTCCCTGAGCAGTATTTTACCTGGTCAAACATGTGAGGTGGAAATTTAAGCGGTGTACTCGTTATCGCTTGAGGAAATACTGTGTCTGTGTTGTTCAACATATTCCTGAAATCCACTTGACGTTTTTTCAGCTAAAACGAAGACAAACACAATATAGCTCAGATACATAACAAAACAGTTTATCATATACATGCTAATAGAAACACGCTACTAACTCCCATAAGAAGGGTTTTTACAGGAAACGAAAGTTCTGCTTATATACGTTTCACGTATAGTTGTATGTCCTTCGCACAGCAGCTGTCTACATCATATATGCATGCTTACTCGGTCAAACTGTTTTCGCAATCTTTGATTCTCAACTTCCATGTTCTTTCTGTAAGAAAACGAAATGAATTTTAGATAGGAAACATGAAAGGATCAACGTTAGTACACCCTTCCTGAAAGAACGTCACGAAAACGACACTCTATAGCCAAGGTGACGTATACTTTCCAGAAACGTGAATGAACTGAATGAGGAGAAGAGTGTGAACAAGCAACTAACCTTACTGCTTCAGTCTCCGCTCTAGCCATTTCTTCCTTTGCTTTCAACAATTTGATGGATTCTTTCATGTCTGCCATGTCATGTTTGTACTTTTCTTTCTTCTAAGACCATTGAAAATAAACATATATAAATTATATATATAAGCTTGATACTAGCCTCCTCCGTAAGCATCTCACCCGAGGAATCGCGGGTGGTCGGAAAAAGATTGGAATTTTTTTTCCAATACCCATTCACAGGCTACAGCCCATAGAGAGGCCTGCGGAGGAGGCTAGCTTGATACCCATCTACACCAAAATAATAAGTCTATCATTACAAGATATTGGCAGAATTTTTACAGGAAACATAATCTCTTGAATTTAAGGAATTTTCCGGGCCTCCATTTTGGAAGGGTAAATTTCTGTTCAACCCACAGTTTAGTCCAAACGTCTTTCTTTCATACGTCATACGAACACTCAAGATACTGTATATGTACCGTCCTATAGAATCGCGATTAATAATCGAGTAATAGAATCGCTTTGTTACTACTTTCTAAGGCATTAAAATGGATTTTTTCCCAAAATGGTATTATCAAAACAGATCTCTTCTAGCCTCTTAAAACAACGATTAAAAACAAGATAAAAATCTCCGAGGGGTGTATTACTCTGAAAAGGATTTGTATTGGGGGATTTTAAAATACTCAGAGATGTTGGGGATATAGATATTTTGACAAGATTTTCGGATTTTGAAAGATCTTTAGCTATTTTGTAGGATTTTCACAGTACCTTAATCAGTGCATCTATTTTCTTCTTTGCAGCTTTTACTTCATCCAATAGTTTTTGCTGCTTCTCGTTGGATTTATTCTCCAGTGACTCTTTCTCCAAGTTTAATGATTTCCTTTGAAAAAACATAACGAGCACATGATCGTGGGATCAGACATTTGTTTGAAAGTGATAGTACGTAGTACGTACAGTAAGATTAGTTCAATCCTCTATAACGATTCCAACTACAAAACATTGAACCCATTTGATTGGCTAATTGAAGTGAAAAAGTCAGTGCCAATGACTAACCTTGTTTCCTCTTTTTCCTTATTATGTTCTCCCTGGGCATGCTGTAAATCAGATCTGGCGATACCTGAAATTATATAACAATGATTCAATGAAGTGTTCCTATTGTCATTTCTACCAACAGTACATCGGATTGTCTGGCTAAGAGCTTCAGTCACAATGCGGTCTTACCAATTTCATCGTTCAATAAATCAACTGTATTCTTTAGCCTTTCATTTGCTGCCATCAGCTGTTGCTCACTGTTCAGAACACTGGAAAAAGTTGAATATTTGGGGGGTTAGATGAACCGTTCAAAATTCAGGAATACATTTGATTTGGAGGCTACTAGCTTACAAACTGTATATACACACGTTTTTATTCACACATTGTAAACATAAGCGTGCACAGAAAATCTAACACTATCAATTTCCAACTTAAATCAAATAATTCATACCTCTGTAGTTGTGTTTGCAGTTTTTGTTGCTTTTCCTTCAACTCTTGTGTTTTTGTCCGTTCCTGGGGAAAAATAGAAAGTTCTATAAATCTGTAATACTATTTTCACGTTTCTTCGTTTATACTGTATATACACGCCTTAAAGCGTTCATTCAAGTTGTTACTGTAGCAGATTTCCCAGGACTGTTATTTTTGATAGCGAGACGTCGGGGGTGAAGATGTCAGAGAAAATGTCTTCACGTCTTCGATTCATGTCAATTTACTCATATGAAACGAGGTCGTCTATGTAGGCAACTAAGGGAGGGTCCCACACAAATAGGGAGGCGCCGGGTGATTAATCACGTTGATGAAATTTTCAAACGCAAGTTTTTTTTACATTTTTAGACCTACAGTGTAACCAAAAACACAACTATAGGCCCCCTGGCAGGAGTTGAATCTAACTCGGCAGAGTAATAATAATAGGCTACAATGATAACGTTACCTTCCCCAGTTCGTCAGAACGATCTGTTGTCTGTTTAAGCTGATTGCGTACGGCGGAAAGCTCTTGCTCCAGTATTTCCTGCCAAATGAATTCCAGGTAAGTAAAATTGAAGAACTAATCAAAGCTCTTTGGTACAGTAGTTAGGGCGATTGAGTAAACGTGCAAGTTCCATTTACCTATCTACTACAGACTATTCCCTTTGTTCGTATTTCGAATAAGTTAAGACGAAATATAAATTAGTATTCGTGTTAGAATACAATTCCGCTATTGCAATACTGCGTGTATGGTCAGAAGTCAAACACATTACCTTTATCTCGTTCACAGATCTCAATTCCTCTTCCAGTTTCTTGACCTCTTCATGGTGTGAAATTCGTGCATCACCTTTAGTTCTGTCGTGCAAAATAACCAGACTGAGTACACAAATAATCAGTACATAATATGACTAATCACGGCGATTTCCTCGTGAAGCATACTTATAGGCGCACGGCTGCTACAGGGATGGATTTACTTGGGGTTCTTGGGTGTGTTGCCGTCCTACAGTAGTCTTGGAAAAGGGGGATTCAACAGGGTGCCAATTTCCTTGTCAAATCCAACAATCCATTTCTTTTATTGGAAAGCAAGTGAATAAACAACAACTACAGTACCTTTCTAATTCTGCTATTGTAGCTTCTAGTTGTAAATTGTTTTGTTCCATTTGGTTTAATTTTTCCCATTCTTTTTCTTTTGCTGCTTGTTCTCGTTTACAGACTTCTTGTTCCTGATGCAAAGGAAATAAAAACACATTGCACATCATGGTATGGTATGGTTTGGTATGGTTTGGTGTGGTTTGGTATGGTTTGGTATGGTTTGGTATGGTTTGGTGTGGTTTGGTATGGTTTGGTATGGTTTGGTATGGTTTGGTATGGTTCGGTATGGTTTGGTATGGTTTGGTATGGTTTGGTATGGTTTGGTATGGTTTGGTATGGTTTGGTATGGTTTGGTGTGGTTTGGTATGGTATGGTATGGTATGGTACAGTGTAATGTTGGCAAGACACAAGGTTACAGTGCATAACATTAAATAATTCACCAAAAACTAACGGTTCACAACAACTTACTTTTTCACCAATGACCACATTAAGATGCTCCACTGTATTATCCAAGACTGTGATTTTATTCCGTAGTGAATCACATTCAAGTTTTAGACTGTCTCTCTCTCGCTCCAAATCTCCTCTATTCTTTGTTAATTCCATTTTCACATTTGTTATTTCCACTTTGTGTTCGTGATTCGCGTCTAAGAGTTTACTGTGGAGGAAGACATTTGGTTTAAAGAATTGCTCATCACAAATATATCAATGTCCCATGGGACCTTTTTCTAATGGTACGCCCCTTAGAATACCGACCTTTTCAATGCATTACATTCGTTTTCGAGTACGTAGACTTGGGAAATATACTGATCCTGAAATGACATCACAAAATTGAATATTTCGGTAAGGTTGTGCAGTAGTGTACAACGTCCTTTTGACACTATTAACCACACGAATGACATAGAAACCAGTTTTTCAATCTCATACTTGCTGTTTATCGTTATTTTCCTTCTCAGCCTGAAGCCGCTGGCATTGGCCTTTCAGCGTTTCGATGTCAGCCTATAGAAGAGAAAATTCATAGTAATATTCACTGAAAAATTCTGAACCATTTCTAGAAAAATTCCTGCAGTAGAAAACTTCCTACCACGCTTTATCTGAAAAATGTCCATACCACGGAAGTGGGCAAAACTTCGGAAATTAAATTTCTAAACTTTTTTTAGGATAATTTCTGTAAAATTTTAAAGTAAGTTAAATTTCACGCTTGAATGACAATCTTGACAATTGAAAATTCACCTCCAGTTCTTTGCAGTGAGCTGTGGACTCCGCCAGTTGGCGTGCCTGAAGTTTAGAAACCTAACAAAAATATAAAATAATTTCATTTACTTTAATTAATTAAATCTATTAAAGTCTGCAATATTATACTTCTAAATTTGTACTCTCTCCATTAGAACTGAATGCCAATTTCTTCCACTGTATATTGCATATTACTAGGCGTAACCACAGGTTAAAAAGTGCGACCTGGAGACTTTAGTCACTAATGACAACGCGCCGGCTCACGCTGTTTTGGCCACATAGTTGGTGATCATCCTTTACTTTTGCCAAAAGTCGGTCGGTCGGTCGGGTTTGTTTTATTTTTTATATAACGATTTGCGTCAAATAAACATGCACATGACAAGGTACTTTATTTCATATTGTCTATTGATATATTCAAAATAAAAAACAGTAACAACTTTTCAAGTTTATGCAAAGGAGTTGCGATAACTGATATGGGCCAATATTGCTCATTATATAATAAAAGTCGGCCCATTTACACTGAATATCCAATTTAGATAAATTTATCAAAATATTAACTTGACTAATAGACCTTTCCCCTTTTAAGTGAAATTTTGATCTAGACAAGTCTGGACAAAAATTTAATCACAGCTTGAAAGAGCATCAATAATATTCCGAAGTTTCGTTGCAAAATGTTGTAAAATGCGGATAATATAGCCTTGCGAAGTTTGCCGTTTTTCAGTCATTTGGTATTACAAACGGGAAATTGATAATCAGTTTGATCATCTGATTATCAATTTCCCCCGCGTAATACAAAAGGACTGAAAAACGGCCAACTTCGCAAGGCTATATTATCCGCATTTTACAACATTTCGAAACGAAACTTCGGAATATTACTAATTTTGTGATGCTCTTTCAAGCTGTAATGAAATTTTTGTCCTAGATCAAAATTTCACTTAAAAGGGGAAAGGTCTATTGGTATCCAATTACGTCACTTGCTACAAATTACATAACAAATAGTCACATTTGTGATTATATTGTCGCTACGGCGCAAAGTCGCCTTCTATGAATAGCATGACGTGTCAATAACAATACCGATTGACAAAGCGCAATTTAAAGATAAATAATAAAGCCCGGCACATGACTTTCAAACAACAGACGTTTCTTTGTATACATCACAACATCCTCATGCACAGCATTTAATCTTTTTGATTATTTAAATCTGCCTTCAATAACAGACTTACAACAGTTAGTAGATGCTAAGTTAAGCTTCGTTTGATGTACAATTTGATGAACAAAAGTTAAAGGTACATGTATAAAATTGCATCAGTATCGATGAGTAAATAAAACACAGGGCGGCATAACAGTGGCGGAAATACCGTTTCATGCGGTCTTCCAAATATGGAAATATGTTCCAAATATGGAATGCAAGCCGAGGTGAATCGGTGAATCTTGAGCCGGGGCTAATCCGAACTCAGCGGTATATTTAAATTTTCTACGCACATGCACAGATTAGGATGCTCCCAGCTCGCTCGCTGGTGCTCGCTCGCTGGTCGCAATAAGCTGAAACGTTCTACTTTGAATAATATTAAGGAGCTCTTTTCATTTTTGGGGTTCATTCCGCCACAGCTGCTATTAGTTTTAAGGGACATGGAGTCACGTGAGCAATTCATGCAGAACCTACTTGCCAACCTCGTATCCAGGGAGAGAACCCTAGGTTGCCTACTTACATGATCAGACTGTAGTCCTGCTGTTTCTCGTTTCTCTCTCAGTTCTTCGAGTTCATTTAGCAGACTTTTCAC